TTGTATGTTGATCATATTAAAACAAAGAAAACAATCTGAAGTTGTTGTTTTTAAGTTATATATACCATGATTTTTCCGGTCCGGCCCACTTGGGAATAGATTTTCCTCCATGTGGCCCCTGAGCTAAAATGAGTTTGACACCCCTGGGATAAAGTAATCCTTCTACCCCCCCTTACCCCACCCCCCCAAAAAAAAATAAAAAAAATAATACATATTGTAAAGTGGTTATCCCACTGGCTATAAGGTGAATGCACCAATTTGTAAGTTGCTCTGGATAAGAGCGTCTGCTAAATGACGTAAATGTAATGTATGTTAGTAGACATGTACAGTTGAATATCTACAGTTGAAGTCGGAAGTTTAAATACACCTTAGCCAAATACATTTAAATTCAGTTTTTCACAATTCCGGACATTTAATCCTTATAAGAATGCCCTGTCTTAGGTCAGTTAGGATCACCACTTTATTTTAAGAATGTGAAATGTAGAGTAGAGAGTGATTTATTTCAGCTTTTATTTCTTTCATCACATTCCCAGTGTGTCAGAAGTTTACATACACTCAATTAGTATTTGGTAGCATTGCCTTTAAATTGTTTAACTTGGATCAAACGTTTCAGGTAGCCTTCCACAAGCTTCCCACAATAAGTTGGGTGAATTTTGGCCCATTCCTCCTGACAGAGCTGGTGTAACTGAGTCAGGTTGTAGGCCTCCTTGCTCGCACACACATTTTTTTATAGGATTGAGGTCAGGGCTTTGTGATGGCCACTCCAATACCTTGACTTTGTTGTCCTTAAGCCACAACTTTGGAAGTATGCTTGGGGTCATTGTCCATTTGGAAGACCCATTTGCGACCAAGCTTTAACTTCCTAACTGATGTCTTGAGATGTTGCTTCAATATATCCACATAATTTTCCTTCCTCATGATGCCATCTATTTTGTGAAGTGCACCAGTCCCTCCTGCAGCAAAGCACCCCCACAGCATGATGCTGCCACCCCCGTGCTTCACGGTTGGGATGGTGTTCTTCGGCTTGCAAGCAACCCCCTTTTTCCTCCAAACATAACGATGGTCATTATGGCCAAACAGTTCTATTTTTGTTTCATCAGACCAGAGGACACAAAAAGTATGATCTTTGTCCCCATGTGCAGTTGCAAACCATAATCTGTTTTTTTTATGGCGGTTTTGGAGCAGTGGCTTCTTCCTACTTCTGACCCACTGGAATTGTGATACAGTGAATAATAAGTGAAATAATCTGTCTGTAAACAATTGTTGGAAAAACTACTTGTGTCATGCACATGTCCTAACCGACTTGCCAAAACTATAGGTTAACAAGAAATTTGTGGAGTGGTTGAAAAACGAGTTTTAATGACTCCAACCTAAGTGTATGTAAACTTCCGACTTCGACTGTATTTGACGTTATTAGCTTATTTGTCAGGGACCATGCACAATAAGGGGCAGCAGGTAGCCTAGCGGTTAAGAGCGTTGGGCCAGTAACCGAAAGGTTGCTGGTTCGAGTCCCCGAGCTGGCAAAGTGGAAAAATCTGCCGTTCTGCCCTTGAGCAAGGCAGTTACACCCCAACAACAACTGCTCCCTGGGCACCAATGACGTGGACGTCGATTAAGACAGCCCCCCGCACCTCTCTGATTCAGAGGGGTTGGGTTAAATGTGGAAGACACATTTCGGTTGAATGCATTTAGTTGTGCAACTGGCTAGGTATCCCATTTCCAATAACTATTGCAATCATCTCCTGGGCTCCAATGTCATATCCTGCTCCTATCTCATATCCTAAAGAACAGTGTAAGATCTGGGCCACAGACACACTGTGACAGCAATCACAGCGGTTATTTATCGGTCTAATAATTTTTCTCATTCACATTATTCAGTTTGTTACTCAGTTACTGTTTGATGAGGACTGAGGAGGCCCAAGGTAGGTAGATTGTCAGAGGAGGGGTATTCTTGATGCTCAATCTGTCCTAGAGAACCTGTATGTCGCCTGAGCATCCAGCACCGCATAGAGCTAGCCATCATAGTCAGGTTAGATCCTAGACTGACTAGATGGATACATCGTTTGCAGTGTCTTTTTAAATGGATAGATAATCAGTGTTATTAGCTAGTCACCGTTCATTTGAAATGGTCTGAGTGCGACTTCCCATTGTCTAAATGAGCAGTTCCAGACGTGATGACTCTGATCTGTGTAATGTTAGACTGTCTCAGCTGGAGGAGATTTCACACACATTGTTTTGTAAACTACTCTCGGTATAAACGGAACACACACATCCTCCAGAAGCAGTAGCAGCAGATGTACTGAAGGGAAAATACTGTTTTATTGGACAACTGCTTAATTCATTCTTTAATCAGCCAGATGCTAATTGAGTTTAAAATACTCCCTCCCGGACAGGATGGAGTATTTTCCTTAACGTGTGTGTGCGACTTGACCGCAATCCCCTCCCTTCTCTCCATGGTTACTATGGTTGTGTCGGGTCCAGATGGCAAGTCGGTGATTACAGAGATAGAATATTGATGTAAGGAAAGTAAAAGGCTGTGTGTCTGTGTTTGTAACCTCCTCAGTGTTCCCATCCAGTGTGAATAGCACAACAACAGACCCCTGTGACAAGCCAATCATAAAGTAACTACATCAGATCCATTCCACCTGTTATCACCGCTGCAGCCAGAACAACAGAGAGAGAGAGAGGAGAGGACCAGATCGCATGCACGCATGTAACACACACACACACACACACACACACACACACACACACACAGGCGAGAAGGGCCAGATCCAAGGCTACAGTAGAACCCCCACCCTCACCAATGGGCTGCCAGCCTAAAAGACCTGCCAGGATGGCCAAACCCTAATTGTTCTGGGCTGGCTTCTCCACGTAGGAAATCAATACATTAACACAGAGCACAGACAAAGCAAAACTCTGGGCAACACAGGAGTCTGATCACAGGGAAGTACGGACAGACAGACATCAAAACAAACTCTCTCACTCTTGTTCTCGCTCGCTCTCTCCCCCCCCCCCCCCCAAGTCTTAGCCTTCCGCTAACGGTGTGGTTAGCGGTCTATGCTACAGTGAGGGGAAAAAAGTATTTGATCCCCTGTTGATTTTGTACATTTGCCCACTGACAAAGACATGATCAGTCTATAATTTTTTATTTGAACAGTGAGAGACAGAATAACAACAACAAAATCCAGAAAAACGCATGTCAAAAATGTTATAAATTGATTTGCATTTTAATGAGGGAAATAAGTATTTGACCCCTCAGCAAAACATGACTTAGTACTTGGTGGCAAAACCCTTGTTGGCAATCACAGAGGTCAGACGTTTCTTGTAGTTGGCCACCAGGTTTGCACATATCTCAGGAGGGATTTTGTTCCACTCCTCTTTGCAGATCTTCTCCAAGTCATTAAGGTTTCGAGGCTGACGTTTGGCAACTCGAACCTTCAGCTCCCTCCACAGATTTTCTATGGGATTAAGGTCTGGAGACTGGCTAGGCCACTCCAGGACCTTCATGTGCTTCTTCTTGAGCCACTCCTTTGTTGCCTTGGCCGTGTGTTTTGGGTCATTGTCATGCTGAAATACCCATCCACGACCCATTTTCAATGCCCTGGCTGAGGGAAGGAGGTTCTCACCCAAGATTTGATGGTACATGGCCCCGTTCATCGTCCCTTTGATGCGGTGAAGTTGTCCTGTCCCCTTAGCAGAAAAACACCCCCAAAGCATAATGTTTCCACCTCCATGTTTGACGGTGGGGATGGTGTTCTTGGGGTCATAGGTAGCATTCCTCCTCCTCTAAACACGGCGAGTTGAGTTGATGCCAAAGAGCTCGATTTTGGTCTCATCTGACCACAACACTTTCACCCAGTTCTCCTCTGAATCATTCAGATGTTCATTGGCCTGTATATGTGCTTTCTTGAGCAGGGGGACCTTGCGGGCGCTGCAGGATTTCAGTCCTTCACGGCGTAGTGTGTTACCAATTGTTTTCTTGGTGACTATGGTCCCAGCTGCCTTGAGATCATTGACAAGATCCTCCCGTGTAGTTCTGGGCTGATTCCTCACCATTCTCATGATCATTGCAACTCCATGAGGTGAGATCTTGCATGGAGCCCCAGGCCGAGGAAGATTGACAGTTATTTTGTGTTTCTTCCTTTTGCGAATAATCGCACCAACTGTTGTCACCTTCTCACCAAGCTGCTTGGCGATGGTCTTGTTGCCCATTCCAGCCTTGTGTAGGTCTACAATCTTTTCCCTGACATCCTTGGAGAGCTCTTTGGTCTTGGCCATGGTGGAGAGTTTGGAATCTGATTGATTGATTGCTTCTATGGACAGGTGTCTTTTTATACAGGTAACAAGCTGAGATTAGGAGCACTCCCTTTAAGAGTGTGCTCCTAATCTCAGCTCGTTACCTGTATAAAAGACACCTGGTAGCCAGAAATCTTTCTGATTGAGAGGGGGTCAAATACTTATTTCCTTCATTAAAATGCAAATCAATTTATAACATTTTTGACATGCGTTTTTCTGGATTTTTTTGTTGTTATTCTGTCTCTCACTGTTCAAATACACCTACCATTAAAATTATAGACTGATCATTTCTTTGTCAGTGGGCAAATGTACAAAATCAGCAGGGGATCAAATACTTTTTTCCCTCACTGTATGTATGCCAGGATTACAGACTGGTAACTTAGGGTATAGCCTGGCCCCAAGGTCAGTAAACACAGGAACCAATGGCTGCTGGGAAAATAGAGAAGGAAAGAAAGGACAGAAAAAACTGCTGTGTGACATCATGTGGCTGCATGAAGTGGGAAAGCCCTTAGTTGGGTGGGGCTACAATTGAATGGGAGCGTGCGTGAATGTGTTTCCCTCTGCGTCAGTGGCCGGGGCGGGGGCGTCCTTCACCTCTCCCGTGGGCCTGTACAGAACTCTGGGAAACCCTGCCACAGAGTTTCTGTATACTCTTTACTGATAGCCTACACTAACCTGCTTTAACTATCCCAACTCTTTCTTCTCTCTCCAGATGTTTGTGGTGGACAAGGTGGAGGATTCCAGCTGTGCTGTCCATGAGTTCTCTATAACTGGCTCAACCTACGCCCCTGAAGGGCAAGTGTGAGTGTCCCCTCCTACCTTTCTTTGTATTAGAGTACAGAGTGCAAGTTACTCTAAGTGTGATTTCAGGTGAAAACTCGTAGTGACTGTGGAATCACAGTGGGAAACACGCACACGCACGCATGCATACACAAACTAACTAACAAACAAACACACACACACACTATGAGGTGTATCTTCTACACCTCCCAGTAAATGATGTGCTGTGTGTGTTGAGTGTGGTCTAGAGTCTGAACACGCTGAGCCCCAGAGGAAAGTTAAGGCTGGCCATTGTTACCCCTCCCTGGCCTCGGACAGACAGACAAACACCTATTTTTACAGGCGGCAGTGGAAAAGCCTTGGTCCCACAATCACCACTTTCATCTGGCCGGCTGGCTGTTAAAAGCCCCCTAACCTCCTTTTTTCCCATTTGATGTGAAGTGTTTCTTTTGAAGTCTCTTTCCTTCCCCATATCAACTCCCATTCCCACCCCCAGCCCCCATAGGTTTACTCTGTTCTTTAGGAAGAATGAAAATTATGTTTTCCTGAAATATGTGAACTTCTTCCATGATAGAACAGATAGCACAGAGAGGAAAGGACACCGAAACTTCTAAAATAGTCTCACTGTGGAGAATTCCTAGAGGAATAAATGACAAATAGGTCTGACTAGAGCGAGCGACGGGGAGAGCAAAACACGGAGAGAGATGGAGAGGGGTGTAGCTGGGCCAAAGTCATAGTGACCCAGTTCCAGACCAACAATCTTTCCTTCCTGTATAATGTCAGGATAACCTGATTGATGACCTCCTCTCACTCTCTGGAGTATCCACTCTAGTCTAATACCCCAAATGACTACCTGCATAGGCCTCTACCCAGAACCAGATCTTCTACAGTATTCATCCCTTCTGGTTACTGCTTTCTCATTAGAAAATGAAATACAAAAAGTCATAAGTTATTCAGAGCACATTCTCTTTTACAATAACAACCTCAATAACAACCTCTGTCATGATTTTGAAATACTGAGGTATTTATTGGTAACCCTTTCCACTCACAGGCCCTGTCATCACATATACTGGTTGAAAATGGCAGTTTTGTCATTGATAAGCACCTAAATTGGAACGCAGTGGCTGTACAGTAGCGTGCTGTACATGTCAGAGCTCAGGCTTTCCACTTCGCAGCTCACCCAACAAGATGCCACCATCCCTCCCGTTAATTGGGTAGTCTGAGTGAGAGGAGTTTGTGTTCTGAAAGATGAGACTTTGAGTTATAATAAATACAGCTTTGATGTCAGACAAGCAAACCACATACCCGTGAGTCCAAATGTGCACTTCACATTTCTATATTTGAAAACTCATGTAATTTACAGTATCAACGTTTATGATCGCCATGTTTGATCCACAGTTGCAAAGATAATATGCGTTATAGCCAGGGTTGTCCTGAACATAATGAGCTTATGTTTATTGTATTGTGAAGGAAATTAGCCGCGGAACACGCACTTGCATGCACTCATGACACCATTCACCAAAATTACAATTGTTTGTCTGAACAATTGTCTTACCATCCCCTTCAGTCAGTTCACTCGATACATGATGATGCTCGACACTCACAATATTTTCCCTACTGAAGTTGATTAAAACCTCATGATTATATCCAATATAATGGAACATGACGGGACTGTGTTTTAGAAAGGTGAATAAGGTCCTAATCGCTGTTCTGGTTGGTTTGTGGGTGTGAAACCTGTTCTCTACTCTGAGATGTTATGAAATCTCAGGCTGGCATGCCATGCAATGGGTTGTTGTGTGGGCTGTTGCTGCCTCTACTGGGCTGTGTGCCATGTGGTCATGCAACCAACCAACCAACCACTGCTGCTCCCAACGCACGCACAAACACGCACACATGCACACACACTCACATACACACAAGTCATTCCATGTCATTTCAGATTGTTCTGAAATTGTTTCTGTAGTTAGAAGCAGGCATTCCTAAAACATTATTTTGTTGAAATTTTATTTTTATTTATAGGATTCCAACAACCAGTATACAGGATCAGTTCTCTAGGTTTGACAAGTAGTATGAAGCTGGTATCTAACAAATGTTTTTTTTTTTTTGGGGGGGGGTTACTATCCTTGTAGGGACCAGAAGTCCCCCAGAAGGATAGTTTAAAAAAAGAACTTGGTTAAGTGGGGACAAGTAGGAAAATGGCTATTTTAGGGTTAGGTTTACTATTAGGGTTTAGGTTTAGAGTTAGGGGTTAAGGTTAATGGTTAGGGGTTAGGGAAAATAGGATTTTGAATGGAAATCAATTGTTTGGTCCCCACAAGGGATAGAAATTAAAAAGTGTGCGTTCTCTCTCCCAGGTTGAAAGGGGACAAGGTGGTGCAGTGTGGAGACTATGATGGACTACTGGAGCTGGCCACTGTGTGTTCCATGTGCAATGACTCCTCACTGGACTACAATGAGGTCAGTGCTGACACACACACCAACACTCTATGTTCTTGTGAGTCAATAACACACACACACACACACACACTGAGCCGTAGACATGGCTGCACATCTGTTGCTGCCTTCTCCTAGGTTTGACTGATGTCATCACTAATGTTGTGTTGGACTAACCTGCGTGATACACAAATGTTTTGTGCCAATGAGACAGGCTTGCAAATGTCTTCATAGACTTAGCTATGTATACAAACAAGGTATTACATTATGCCGAATGCATGAATGATAACAAGCCTCCTACAGTAGCTGATTGAATTTTACTCTGATGTGTTTTCTCACCTCTGTCATCACCACGGTGTCATGGTAACCATGCTGTGTGTAAATGAAGCCAAGGACACGGCAGTTTCATTACAAGATATGCAAACACTGAGATTTGTTGTTGTTGTTGATTTGTTTCCCAAAAAGACTCATTGTAGAACTGAATTAGCAGGCCATTTTGTAAAGGTGTGGCTTTCCCAACTAGAGATAATGGAGGAGGGGAGGAGGGTTGATAAAGGTAGAGCAGCTGTGTGGAGAGGGAGAGTGGTGTGAGATTAGTGGACCCTGATGGCGGTGGAGGACCGTGGGGATTTATTGACCATGTTGTGTTCAGTGGGGTAGACAGGCACAGTGTGGGCAAGGCTGCGTCCTATTAAAACACGGTGGACTCCACCTATTCACATCATAAAAATATACTGTATAATAATAAAAGCTATTTAGCAGATGCTTTTATCCAAAGCGACTTAGTCATGTGTGCGTACATTTTACGTATGGGTGGTCAAACCCACTATCCTGGCATTGCAAGCGTCATGCTCTACGAACTGTGCTACAGAGGACATTTACCTGGCAGGTCAGGTCAGCCAGCTATGAAACCACACCACTCACTCACTATGACTCAAGTCATCTAAGGAGAACTAGAGTAGGTTGATGTGAATGATTGAGAGAATGCACTCACTAATTGACACGCATACACACACACACACACACACACACACACACACACATTGGTTAGTCAGACTTTTATGCATCAGTGCGTACTATACCATCCTCCTCTTCTCTCTTGATCTTCCTCTCTCCTCTCATCTACTCTTTCTCTCTCTCCGTCCGTCCATACTCCTAATGACAGTGGCCGTGGCCGAAATCTGTCTTGCCTAGATGTCTTACATACTCTGTACTAATTGTACCACATACAGTTTAGTTTAGTCAAAACTAATGCAGTAAGCAACAAATATCAACATACTAGGCTCATCCATACTGAGAATGTGTCATTTAATGCGCAACTGCGTTGATTCCAGCCATTCGTTCGTTTTGCTGTGGCGCTTCGCCTCATGTGATATATCAGCTGTTGTCAAACACACGTGGGTCATGAAAGGTGATTCTCTTCCTTAATGGTGTGCAGCGAATTCTAGTTAGTGTGCGGTATTTTTGCACACCCGAAATGCCTACTATTGAGAACGCAAATGAGGGTATTCGGACACGGACAGAGTGCCTCAGCGCTTTTGACTAACCAATCCTCTCCCCTCTCCTAGACCAAAGGAGTGTATGAGAAGGTGGGCGAGGCGACAGAGACGGCCCTCACTACTCTGGTGGAGAAGATGAACGTGTTCAAGACCGACATGTCAGGCCTCAGCAAGGTGGAGCGAGCCGGAGCCTGCAACGCAGTAAGCAGCTAGGGAAAACACTGGGGGTAGGGGGGAGGGGTTGTGGATGTAATGTATACAGCACTTCTATCCATGCATGTCGTGTGTGTATTAGGCATACTATATACTACTTGCATATTCATATACAGTGCATTATTTAATTATGTATCTAACATATGGTCATGTACACAGTGATTAAACGACTGAACGTGGACACAAGTTCAAACAAAGTATGTTAATGGGAGCTGGTACCTATTGGCTTTTAATGCATGGGACAATTATCTCCACTAAGATCACCTCAGCCTCTAGTTTAGCACTTGAAAATGGGTTTCTCGCATAAAATTGATTATTTAATGAAACCAGTGATTGCTCCATCGGTAGTCCAAATTGCATTGGTAACTGGCTGGCCTGCACTAAGAGTGTTCGTAATCCCTGAGAGAGAATATGTGAGAGAGAATATGTGAGAGAGAATATGTGAGAGAGAATATGTGAGAGAGAATATGTGAGAATTCAGATTCTCAGGTAGCACTTTATAATAACTCCACATAAAAAAAGCATTTATAATGGATAAGTAAATAGTTTATTCATCATTTATTCATAATCACTCCCACATTTGTAAATGTCGTAACCTAGTTATTCACACATTTATAAATCACTTTTAAATTATTGAATAAGGATTCAAAAAAATGTTTAATATAGGTTATTTTAAACCATTTACTAATCATTAGTTAAGTCTTTTTGTGTGACATCTGAATTGTGGGCTATTTACACGTTAGTTATACTTTAGAAATGTTTTGTGTGAACAGTGTAATTTCTGACAAAAAGATGGACATTCCATTGGTAGACATTCCAGCAGTACCTGATGCTCCTTAAGGTCTCAAAATGGCCCCTAGAACATATCAATGGTTAAACAATAAACACACAATACAGAGGATGTTTATGAAAAACAAGAAAATACATAAGCGTTTCATGGCAGTGAATTTCCTACAAAAACCATAGTGTGGATTGCAGTCACTCCTTAGAGCAGTCTAATTAAGCAATAGGGCACGAGGGGGTGTGGTGTATGGCCAATATACAACGGCTAAGGGCTGTTCTTACGCACAACACAACGCGGAGTGCCTGGACACAGCACTTAGCCGTGGTATATTGGCTATATACCACAAACCCCTGAGGTGCCTTATTGCTATTATAAACTGGTTACAAACATAATTAGAACAGTAAAAATAGATGTTTTGTCATGCCCGTGGTATAGGGTCTGATATACCATGACTTTCAGCCAATCAGCATTCAGGACTCAAACCACCCAGTTTATAATCTCGGTTAACCCATAACTAAAATGGTACGTGATTAAATTCAGCTGCGTGATTAAGACCAGCTTGCAAATGTCTTCATAGACTTAGCTATGTATACAAACTAGGTATTACATTATGCCGAATGCATGAATGATAACAAAGATGCACACACACACACAGACCCTCCCCCTTACGCTAATTTCACCACACGCGCAAAGCAGTCAAAGTTTAAGCACCGCCATCGTCGAATCCTGGTACCTCCAAATAATCTGTGACAAAAAACCCAAACATCGGAACTACTGCTGCTTGTTATCCTATGCATTCCATACCATCCCGACAGATTCTTCGGTTTACGCACAGAATCTGTCTGAGGCTTTTTTTAGACTTAAGGAGCATCAGGTACTTCTGTAATGACTACCAATGGCATGTCCATCTTTTTGTGAGAAATTACACCGGTCACTCAAAACATTTATAAAGTATAAATAGCCCACACTTAAGATGAGGCGACGCAAAAAGTCTTAACTAATGATTAGTAAATGATTTATAAGGACCTACATTAAACATTTTATGATTAATAAATGATGAATCAACTTTTAACCATTCCATTATAAATGCTTTATTATGTGGAGGTATTATAAAGTGCATCTAACTTCCCTGTGGTGAATGCCCAATGATGGGCTCTCAGAGCTTCATCTGTGTGAATGATGCCTTTCCTCCTCTGACTCTGAACAAGTGGTGTGTCTTCTCTTCTCTCAGTCTTTGTGAATGACCAGTGACACTGTGACAGGAAGGCGTGAGAGCGAGAGAGTCTAACTCCCTGTGCTCTTGTCAATGACCAGCAGTTCCAAGTTTTTCCACTGAACCCCAGATAAAGTTCCATTCAAATTCCCAACGGTCCCACGACAAGGAAAAACCCTGTCACTGACACAAGTCGTCCTCGGAGGCTAGAGATAATAATATTTAGACAAGCCAGGGAGTTTATGAAGAGGTTAGCTAAACTTTCCAGCCCTCTGTTAGGGCTTTCAACAGAAAAGAAATAGGATGTTGTTTCCTACTAATGCACTAGTTGACGGTGAAGTGTGTAAGACGATGTTTAGCTTCCTCCTCTGCCGTCACTAGACCGACTCGACACAAGTTCCTCGTCTTTTGTTTTACGATGGGAGGAAGAGAGGGATTTTGGCTTAAATGGGCTCAGTGTCTCAGTGGCTTTATGATGGGAAGAGGGGTCTTTTGGCTCAGTTGCTCTCTGTCTGTGAGGACATCTGTGAAGTGTCTATGGAGGCCCCTGGCATCATGTCTTCACGTCAGAAATGTCTGAGCTGAGAGGGAGGGAGGGAGGGAGGGAGGGAGGGAGGGATTTGGGATGATGGTTAATAGTGGTTATATCTGACTGACTACCAGCCTGAGAACACTGAGCTTCATGCGGACTGGAACGAGGGTGACACCTAGTGGTACTTCATAACTAGACACTAGGAAATAGAGAGCAAGGAAAATGGCTCCATCAGTATCCACAAATGACAATGCAAACCTAACCAACCATTTCTGATTATTTACAGCTTGATCAGTATGATGCATTGATTCATATTAGTTGGACATTTAGCAGATTTTTAAGGATGTGAAAGCAGGGCCGTATACCTTCTATGTTAACCTTGCACTTCACTACAAGCTTAAGCCTTAAGGCCAAGTTGAGTTGTACCCACTAAGGGATCTCAGGGTCCCTTGTAAAATCAAAGTGTACCTCTGTACCACCTGTTTGGCACTAGAACTTACATAGACAGAGGGTCCTGTCCAGCCCAGATTGATCCTGGCACTTCATATACAAAAAACTATATATATTCAGACTTGCCCAGTTGTGTCTGGTGCCTTTGGCTGACTGTCTGAGCCCAAACAGGATGTTAGAGTACCATCCATCTGGTGTCATCAACACAACCAGACCTCCCAGTCAGTCACCCATCTGGGCCTGGAGTGCTAATCTAGGATCTGTCTTATTAATTATGATCTAAAAGGCTAAACTGATCATAGATCAGCGGGTCTACTCTGAAAGGCTTTGTGGATACGGGTCCTAGTCTGATAGAGCCCCTTCCATCACAAACACAACACAGCCTCCCAGTCTCAGTCCAGAGTAGATAGGATGCTGGAGTGTCTCATCCATCAGGTGTCAGCATCACAGCCAAAGAGAAGCCTCCCAGTCTCAGTCCCCCACCTGGCCCATTAGAGCCCGCTCCATCAAAACAACAACAACACAGCCAAGGCAGAGTCAAGCCTCCCAGTCCCCCACCTGGTACTGACAGGATGACAGCTGCCCACTAACACGCCTGTCTGGAATAAACACTTTTTCTATCCCTCTCTCTCTCTCTCGTGCTCTCTCTCTCTCCTGTCTCGGCTCTCTCATCTCTCTCTCTCTCTCTCCTCTCTCCTCTCTCTCCTCGTCCTCTCTCTCTGCTCTCTCTCTCTCTATTCTCTCCTCTCTCTCTCTCTCTCTCTCTCTCTCGCTCTCTTATTTTCTTTCTATTTTCTTCACTTTCTCTCTCTCTCTCTTACTCTCACACTCACACTCACACACACCAGGTGATCAGGCAGCTGATGAAGAAAGAGTTTACTCTGGAGTTCTCTCGCGACCGCAAGTCCATGTCCGTGTACTGTACCCCCACTAGCAAACCAGGTTCTGGGAGCAAGATGTTTATCAAGGTACACACAAACACACACCCCTCAGGCAACAGATCTCTTACATGCTTTAATAATACATTTTCAGAATCAATGCATTTTCTCTGTAAGCCAGAGTGATGGGAGCTTGGATGTCCAAGTTGTTTTGTTGTCATTTTTTACCTTGTGTGTCCTTTTGACCCCTGTACCTCCCTCTCCCTACAAACACACACACTCCACCCCTCCACTCCAACAGGGTGCCCCAGAGAGTGTGATGGAGCGTTGCCAGTACCTGCGTGTTGGCACAGGGAAGGTGGCGCTGACCCTGCCCCTGAGAGAGAAGCTGACCTCCCTGATCAGGGACTGGGGCACGGGCAGGGACACACTGAGATGCCTGGGCATGGCCACACGGGATTCACCACCAAAACAGGAAGACATGGATCTGGAGAACGCCACTAAGTTCGCTGAGTACGAGGTACAAGAGAGAGATGGAAAAGCTTAGTGTTTGTTGGTTTCTGTGTGCGAACCATCTTGCTATGTCAGAGACGGGGCATGGATAGAACTGGGCAGAGAGAGTTTTGTTTTGTTTTTATAGACATGTTCTATGTAAGGAGAGATCATCCACCTTAAATACAATAATAATGATCATCATCATTTGTATGTGGTGAGCTCCACTTACTCTGACACCCGTTATCCTTTATCTTGAGTTGCATCCAGGTTGTATTCTGATGCCTGACTGGGTGCTGCTCATTCATCGATCTGGTGCTCACATTCTACTGTCTTCACTTTTCGACATTCCCTCATCCTCCTCCTCTACCTGCCTCCTCCTACCCCTCTTCTCCTCCTCTTCCTCCTCCTCTCTTCCTCTCTTCTCCGCATCCCCTCCTCGCTCTGTCCAGACGGGCCTAACGTTCGTTGGCTGCGTGGGCATGCTGGACCCGCCCAGGAAGGAGGTGATTGGCGCCATCCAGCTCTGCGCCGAGGCGGGCATCCGTGTCATCATGATCACCGGGGACAACAAGGGCACGGCTGTGGCCATCTGCCGACGCATCGGTATCTTCGGCGAGGATGAGGATGTGATGGGCAAGGCCTACACAGGCCGGGAGTTTGACGACCTGCCCATAGAGTCCCAGAGAGACGCTGTGAAGCGGGCACGGTGCTTTGCCCGCGTGGAGCCAGCCCACAAGTCCAAGATCGTGGGCTACCTGCAGTCGTTTGATGAGATCACTGCCATGGTGAGTAGAGGGTTAATGCACAGCTCCACCCCTTTGTCTCATTCAACTGCCTGGGAGCTCAGTGCCTCATTTCAGTATAATTGTGACTAGATCTAGATTGATGTTGACCTTATTTAATTGGTGTGCAAATAAATCAATGAATACATAGATCAAATGTTAGATCTAATTTATTGTATAACTCATTATGGGCCAATCTATTCTGACTTGCTTTGACAATGAAATAGTTCTGCATGTCTGTATAACACCCTATTAAATAATTAAATACTCTTGCTTTCCTCCACAGACTGGTGATGGGGTGAACGACGCACCAGCCTTGAAGAAGGCAGAAATTGGCATTGCCATGGGTTCGGGCACGGCTGTGGCAAAGTCAGCCTCTGAGATGGTTCTGTCTGATGATAACTTCTCTACCATTGTGGCGGCTGTAGAGGAGGGCAGAGCCATCTACAACAACATGAAACAGTTCATACGATACCTCATCTCCTCAAACGTCGGCGAGGTCGTCTGGTAAGAAGAGATGCATGCATGCACTGCAAACAAACACACACACATTTTCCTATGTCAAGTCTCCTAACCAGAGTTTTCAAGAATGCTGACTGTTGTTGTTTTCTTTATGTATTTCTGATGTGTGTTTACTCTTTCTGTCTGAAGCATCTTCCTGACGGCCATCTTGGGTCTGCCTGAGGCTCTGATCCCGGTACAGTTGCTGTGGGTCAACCTGGTGACAGATGGTCTCCCTGCGACTGCCCTGGGTTTCAACCCCCCAGACCTGGACATCATGGACAAGCCCCCCCGCAACCCCAAGGAGCCCCTCATCTCTGGATGGCTGTTCTTCAGATATCTGGCCATCGGAGGTGAGACACTGTCTGGTCCACTGGACACTGGTTAAAATACAACAAGAGTTGCTCATTCAGACTCATCTTTGTATCTGTAATGTAATCTCGCGAGCCATAATCAAAGTTTCATGCTAGCTATTTTTTTTATATTTTAATGTTTAAAAAAAATATATATTTTACCTTTATTTAACTAGGCAAGTGAGTTAAGAAGACATATTTATTTACATTGATGGCCTACCAAAAGGCAAAAGGCCTCCTGCGGGGACGGGGGCTGGGATTTAAAAAAATTATATATTTAAATATAGGACCAAACACACATCACAACAAGAAAGACACCACAACACTACATAAAGAGAGACCTAAGACAACAACACAGCAAGGTAGCAACCCAACATGAAAACAGCATGGTTGCAACACAACATGGCAGCAGCACAACATGGTAGCAGCACAAAACATGGTACAAACATTATTGAGCACAGACAACAGCACAAAGGGCAAGAAGGTAGAGACAACAATACATCACGCGAAGTAGCTACAACTGTCAGTAAGAGTGTCCATGATTTGAGTCTTTGAATGAAGAAATGGAGATAAAACTGTCCAGTTTGAGTGTTTTTTGCAGCTCGTTCCAGTCGCTAGCTGCAGCGAACTGAAAAGAGGAGCGACCCAGGGATGTGTGTGTTTTGGGGATCTTTAACAGAATGTGACTGGCAGAACGGGTGTTGTATGTGGAGGATGAGGGCTGCAGGAGGTGTATCAGATAGGGGGGAGTGAGGCCTTAGAGGGTTTTATAAATAAGCATCAACCAGGGGGTCTTGCGACGGGTATACAGATATGGCCAGTTTACAGAGGAGTATAGCGTGCCGTGATGTGTCCTATAAGGAGCATTTGTGGCAAATCTGATGGCCGAATGGTAAAGTACATCTAGTTAGAGACTATCCTTAATGTGACTTTCATCCCTAACATTGGGGGTTAAAACGTGATCGACCTGGCTCTCACTGTTGCTTGGTCTATGACTGTCTTTCTGTCTGTGTGTGTTCCTGCAGGGTATGTTGGTCTGGGCACGGTGGGTGCTGCCACCTGGTGGTACCTGTTTGATGATGAAGGCCCTAATGTGACCTTCTACCAGCTGGTGAGTGGAGACAAACACCATTACATTAGGGTCTGCTTGAACATGTCCTGCTAGTTAAAAACAATTTTTGCAAAACATTTTGCTACACTGTGTCCTAATGAATAGGACCTAGGTCAACCCTTTTCAATCACCTCATGTTTATTTGTGTTTTCAATAGCATCCATCCCCAGGGGATGGTGCTTTATCACTTAGCACAGTTATGGTCTATATTTGGCTGTTGTTACGGTTACCCCCGGTTACCCCATCAGCTATTTGCCATGACGACGATGTCTGGGATCATACAAAGAGACAGAAATAGAATTCAGAGAAAGTAGAGAGTTCATTGGCGGAGAATAAGACACGTGGTCTGAGGGAAAGAAATAGAAATGTTAGAGAAAGAGGTGGAACAGAGGAGGGAGGGAAGAGTGAACTGAGTCCAAGGGTCCCCTGAAGGAAAAATGTCAGAGAAGGAAAGGGGGAACAGAGGAAGAGCTGAGTCGAGGGTTTCCTGCAGCTGCTGCGGTGTCAGATCTAAGCAGGTCGCAAGGTTAGGTCACTTCCTGTGGACACGCACGCACACACAGTGCTTCGAGTGTTCTGGTCGTTGACTTGCATGAAGTCAGTCTTTTTCATCTCAGGACGTGTAAGAAACTTTGGAATAATACTCCAATGTGCAATGAATGTATCTTTCTCTTGTCTATGTGTTGTGAAGCCTACCTCACCTCTCTCCTCTCCCTCTCCGCAGAGACACTTAAATGAGTGCATGCAGGTCAACCCCATGTTGTCTATATGCTGTGAAGCCTGTTTACCTCACTGCTGTCCTCTCCTCTTCTCAGAGACACTTTATGCAGTGCTCGGAGGACAACCCCATGTTCCAGGGCATCGACTGTGAGGTGTTTGAGTCGCGCTACCCCACCACCATGGCCCTCTCTGTGCTGGTCACCATAGAGATGTTCAACTCCCTCAACAGGTCAGTCAGCAGCATCTTGTACTTAGAGGGCAACATATCTATATGATTATACATACATATATGTTGGTCCATATCTGTTGGTCCTCTGTAGCACAGTTGATAGAGCATGGCACTTGCAACGCCAGGATAGGTGGTTCGATTCCCAGGACCACCCGTACATAAAATGTATGCACACATGACTGTAAGTCGCTTTGGATAAAAGCATCTGCTAAATGGCATATATATATTATCTACTGTATATTATAATACGCTAAGCATTCTAAGCTGCAGGAGGGACTACTCCTACAATTTGGGGCAGATTTTCTTCATTTCAGGCTCAAAAGAAGTGCATCCGTCCTCTTACATATATTCCGCGGTGTTTTGTGTTTTCCCAGTTTTTGTGTTTGGAATGACATGGTTACTATTGCATCATGTCAATTCCATTGTGAAGTAATTTCGCTCCCAAGGTAAAGCCTATCAAAGCGTAAGTCCAGCCGCTCAGTGGGTATAGCAATAATCATGCCCAGACGCAGACGATCCACTTCTCTAGACCTATTACCCATAATGCTCATTGCCTGGACATTCCAAATTACCATGGCAATTATGCATCACAATGGTAATATTAATTTTGGAAAATGCAGCAATCCACGGTACAGTAGGCTATCAACTGCACTGCTGCTTTTATACAGTGCTTAAATTCTTCAACAGCATCTCATGATGATCCACTGCCCTGTTTTTCCCAAATCTTAAACTAACCCTCAAATCCTTTTGAAATAATGCTGTCATATAAAGCAAGGTGTATATGAGTCAAATAAGCACTAGGCATAAAACATAGGCAATAAACATGAGCTGGTATACACACTGGAGAGGTGGAAATTACACTTCCACGCTTGGATGTGGTCGCATCTATGCGAGTTACAAATTCTAGCAGGTCACTTCACTCAAAACATTCTATTTTTGGGGCAGATAAAACCATGATTTGGTCAAACTGTGGCATCCTGATCCTGCATGAAAGTGTTTTCCCTGCCCCTGTTTCTCCCTGTGTTTTCCCTGCCCCTGTTTCTCCCTGTGTTTGCCTTGCCCCTGTTTCTCCCTGTGTTTGCCTTACCCCTGTTTCTCCCTGTGTTTGCCTTACCCCTGTTTCTCCCTGTGTTTGCCTTACCCCTGTTTCTCCCTGTGTTTGCCTTACCCCTGTTTCTCCCTGTGTTTGCCTTACCCCTGTTTCTCCCTGTGTTTGCCTTACCCCTGTTTCTCCCTGTGTTTGCCTTACCCCTGTTTCTCCCTGTGTTTGCCTTACCCCTGTTTCTCCCTGTGTTTGCCTTACCCCTGTTTCTCCCTGTTTGCCTTACCCCTGTTTCTCTCTTTGCGCTCTGAGTAGCCTAGATGGAGAGAAGGGGAGGAAGAGAGAAATGCACAACATTTCAAAATGCAGTGGCACAAAACAAACAGTAGGCTAGTGTTGTGGTTTTGGTTTCGAGTTTTCCCTTCCACAGTGATTAGCCCCAAGTGAATTAGCCTATTTGTACACAAAACGATGTAAGCAAATTAATCTCTATTGAACAAAATACATCTGTATTTCTGGAGCCCTATATATATATATATATATATATACACACACACAGTGGGGAGAACAAGTATTTGATACACTGCCGATTTTGCAAGTTTTCCTACTTACAAAACATGTAGACGTCTGTAATTTTTATCATAGGTACACTTCAACTGTGAGGGACGGAATCTAAAACAAAAATCCAGAAAATCACATTGTATGATTTTTAAGTCATTAATTTGCATTTTATTGCATGACATAAGTATTTGATACATCAGAAAAGCAGAACTTAATATTTGGTACAGAAACCTTTGTTTGCAATTACAGAGATCATACGTTTCCTGTAGGTCTTGACCAGGTTTGCACACACTGCAGCAGGGATTTTGGCCCACTCCTCCATACAGACCTTTTCCAGATCCTTCAGGTTTCGGGGCTGTCGCTGGGCAATACGGACTTTCAGCTCCCTCCAAAGATTTTCTATTGGGTTCAGGTCTGGAGACTGGCTAGGCCACTCCAGGACCTTGAGATGCTTCTTACGGAGCCACTCCTTAGTTGCCCTGGCTGTGTGTTTTGGGTGTCATGCTGGAAGAACCCGGCCACAACACATCCTCAATGCTCTTACTGAGGGAAGGAGGTTGTTGGCCAAGATCTCGCGATACATGGCCCCATCCATCCTCCCCTCAATACGGTGCAGTCGTCCTGTCCCCTTTGAAGAAAAGCATCCCCAAAGAATGATGTTTCCACCTCCATGCTTCACGGTTGGGATGGTGTTCTTGGGGTTGTACTCATCCTTCTTCTTCCTCCAAACACGGCGAGTGGAGTTTAGACCAAAAAGCTCTATTTTTGTCTCATCAGACCACATGCCCTTCTCCCATTCCTCCTCTGGATAATCCAGATGGTCATTGGCAAACTTCAGACGGGCCTGGACAGCAGGGGGACCTTGCGTGCGCTGTAGGATTTTAATCCATGACGGCATAGTGTGTTACTAATGGTTTTCTTCGAGACTGTGGTCCCAGCTCTCTTCAGGTCATTGACCAGGTCCTGCCGTGTAGTTCTGGGCTGATCCCTCACCTTCATCATGATCATTGATGCCCCACGAGGTGAGATCTTGCATGATTGACAGTCATCTTGAACTCCTTCCATTTTCTAATAATTGCGCCAACAGTTGTTGCCTTCTCACCAAGCTGCTTGCCTATTGTCCTGTAGTCCATCCCAGCCTTGTGTAGGTCTACAATTCTATCCCTGATGTCCTTACACAGCTCTCTGGTCTTGGCCATTGTGGAGAGGTTGGAGTCTGTTTGATTGAGTGTATGGACAGGTGTCTTTTATACAGGTAACGAGTTCAAACAGGTGCAGTTAATACAGGTAATGAGTGGAGAACAGGAGGGCTTCTTAAAGAAAAACTAACAGGTCTGTGAGAGCCGGAATTCTTACTGGTTGGTAGGTGATCAAATACTTATGTCATGCAATAAAATGCAAATTCATTACTTAAAAATCATACAATGTGATTTTCTGGATTTTTGTTTTTTACAGACCTCTACATGCTTTGTAAGTAGGAAAACCTGCAAAATCGGCAGTGTATCAAATACTTGTTCTCCCCACTGTGTGTGTATATATATATATATACTACCGTTCAAAAGTTTGTGGGCACTTAGAAATGTCCTTGTTTTCGAAAGAAAATCATTTTTTTTGTCCATTAAAATAACATCAAATTGATCAGAAATACAGTGTAGACATTAATGTTGTAAATGGCTATTGTAACTGGAAACGGCTGACTTTTAATGGAATATCTACATAGGCGTACAGAGGCCCATTATCAGCAACCATCAGTCCTGTGTTCCAATGGCATGTTGTGTTTGCTAATCCAAGTTTATTAATCATTAGAAAAACCTTTTGCAATTATGTTAGCACAGCTGAAAACTGTTGTGCTGATTAAAGAAGCAATACAACTGGCCTTCTTCAGACTAGTTGAGTATCTGGACCATCAGCAATTGTGGGTTCGATTACAGGTTCAAAATGGCCAGAAACAAATAACTTTCTTCTGAAACTCATCAGTCTATTCTTGTTCTGAGAAATGAAGGCTATTCCATGCGAGAAATTGCCAAGAAACTGAAGATCTCGTACAACGCTGTGTACTACTCCCTTCACAGAACAGCGCAAACTGGCTCTAACCAGAATATAAAGAGGAGTGGGAGGCCCCGATGCACAACTGAGCAAGAGAACAAATATATTAGTGTCTAGTTTGAGAAACAGGCGCCTCACAGGTCCTCAACTGGCAGCTTCATTAAATAGTACCCGCAAAACACCAGTCTCAACATCAACAGTGAAGAGGCGACTCCGGGATGCTGACCTTCTAGGCACAGTTGCAAAGAAAAAGCCATATCTCAGACTCCCCATCTTAATCTTCTCTTTTTATTGGCCAGTCTGAGATATGGCTTTTTCTTTGCAACTAGGCGTACACACACACACACACACACACACTATATCGAACCCACAATTGCTGATGCTCCAGATACTCAACTAGTCTCAAGAAGGCCAGTTTTATTGCTTCTTTAATCAGCACAACAGTTTTCAGCTGTGCTAACATAATAGCAAAAGGGTTTTCTAATGATCAATTAGCCTTTTTTAAATGATAAACTTGGATTAGCAAACACAACGTGCCATTGGAACACAGGACTGATGGTTGCTGATAATGGGCCTCTGTACGCCTATGTAGATATTCCATTAAAAATCAGCTGTTTCCAGCTATAATAGCCATTTACAACATTAACAATGTCTACACTGTATTTCAGATCAATTTGATGTTATTTTAATGAACCAAAAAATTGCTTTTCTTTCGAAAACAAGGCAATTTCTAAGTGACCACAAACTTTGTGCGGTCAAAAGTTTTAGAACACCTACTCATTCAAGGGTTTTTCTTGATTTTCTTACTATTTTCTACATTGTAGAATAATAGTGAAGACATCAAAACTATTAAATAACACATATGGAATAATATTAACCAAAAAAATGTTAAACAAATGAAAATATATTTGATATTCTTCAAATAGCCACACTTTGCCCTGACAGCTTTGCTCACTCTTGGCATTCTCTCAACCAGCTTCACCAGGAATGCTTTTCCAACAGTCTTGAAGGAGTTCCCACATATGCTGAGCACTTGTTGGCTGCTTTTCCTTCACTCTGCTGTCCGACTCATCCCAAACCATCTCAATTTGGTTGAGGTCGGTGGATTGTGGAGGCCAGGTCATCTGATGCAGCACTCCATCACTCTACTTCTTGGTAAAATAGCCCTTACACAGCCTGGAGGTGTGTTGGGTCATTGTCCTGTTGAAAAACAAATGATAGTCCCGCTAAGCACAAACCAGATGGGATGGCCTATCGCTGCAGAATGCTGTGGTAGCCATGCTGGTTAAGTGTGCCTTGAATTCTAAATAAATCACAGACAGTGTCATCAGCAAAGCACCCCCACACCATAACACCTCCTCCTCCATGCTTTACGGTGGGAACTACACATGCGGAGATCATCCGTTCACCCACACCGCATCTCACAAAGACACGGCGGTTGGAACCAAACATTTCCAATTTGGACTCCAGACCAAAGGACACATTTCCACTGGTGTAATGTCCATTGCTCGGGTGTCTTGGCCCAAGCATGTCTCTTCTTCTTATTGGTGTCCTTTAGTAGTGATATCTTTGCAGCAATTCGACCATGAAGGCCTGATTTCACACAGTCTCCTCTGAACAGTTGATGTTGAGATGTGTCTGTTACTTGAACTCTGTGAAGCATTTATTTGGGCTGCAATTTCTGAGGCTGGTAACTCTAATGAACTTATCCTCTGCAGCAGAGGTAACTCTGGGTCTTCCATTCCTGTGGCGGTCCTCATGAGAGCCAGTTTCATCATAGCGCTTGATGGTTTTTGTGACTGCACTTGAAGAAACTTTCAAAGTTCTTGAAATGTTCCGTATTGACTGACCTTCATGTCTTAAAGTAATGATGGCCTGTAGTTTCTCTTTTGCTTATTTGAGCTGTTCTTGCCATAATATGGACCTGGTCTTTTACCAAATAGGGCTATCTTCTGTATACACATTAAGAAGGAAAGAAATTCCACAAATGAACTTTTAAGAAGGCACACCTGTTAATTGAAATGCATTCCAGGTGACTACCTCATGTATGTATATGTATTATGGAAGAGTCATGTGAACAGTACAGAATAACTATTTATTTATAAGGCAGTCAGTCCATTCATGTTTTGGCCTTCTAGTATGTCACCCTGATTCTGAGAGTTGTATTAGTTTTATTAGGCTAGTCATTAGAGTATAGACTACTGTAAACCAGGACCTGTACCCACAAAACTTCTCAGAATAGGAGTGCTGATCTAGGATCAGGTCCCAATCTTTCACCTTTTAGATCATAATGAATAAGGTAATATGGACAGGTGGGGACCTGATCCTAGATCAGCACACCTACACTGAGACGCTTTGTGGATACGGGCCCAGACCTTATACATCTGCAATGTAATAATTGTCCTGTAGACCATGTTTTGCTGCCCTTGCTAACCCGTTCTGGGTCCAGTAGTTGTCTTGGCTATGAATACAGTAATTACAGTGTTGGTGTGTTTTGCCTCTCCTCCTCCTGCCCCTAGTCTGTCTGAGAACCAGTCCCTGATCAGGATGCCTCCCTGGGTGAACTTCTGGCTGCTGGGAGCCATAGTCCTCTCCCTGTCCCTCCACTTCCTCATCCTCTACGTCGAGCCCCTGCCTGTGAGTACAGCATATACATAGGTTCTGTCCGTCAGCAATAGTATGCTTTCTAGTGTATCCCTCTATCTGACCTGGTCCACCCCTCTTTTCTCTGCCGTCCAGCTGATCTTCCAGGTGACCCCTCTATCCTGGTGCCAGTGGATCGTGGTCCTGAAGATCTCCATCCCTGTCATCCTATTGGATGAGGCCCTCAAGTACATCTCCCGCAATCACTTAGACGGTACGACTCACAGTTTCTAAAAGTAGCTTCCTGTGCAAAAACAGGAAATATACCAGACTTTGGTGAGACAATAGGGTTAGGGATAGCATTTCTTCTAGAACCCCCCAAAAGTGACAGTTTTCCTATTTTTCCTCTCTTTTTCTGCATTCCTTATTCAGCCTAAACGTTCTCTCCTCTCGCCTTCTGTAAAAGGTACTTTATTTGATTGTTTTTCTGATTGTTCTCTGCTTCCTCCTTGTACCTCTCTGAACCTGCATATTTAGCTAAAACTCGCTGGGTTTTGACTTTTCAGTTTACCCCTCTCATGAATTAGTTTTTATGCCTCATGGTTAAGCCGTATGCATGGACACATCCATGTAGACATTAATGTGAAATGTGGTATTATTACTGATGTTGTTTTTCTCCCCAATAGACAACGAGGACAAGAAGTACAGGAAGAGGCAGCTGAAATATTAAGACCCCCCCCCCCCCCCCCCCCCCCCCCCCCCCCCCCACACACACACACACACACACACACACGCCTTCCCCTTTAAAGAAATGCCCATCTCCTCCGTTCCCTCATTCCCCCCAGTCCTGCATGCCCAACCTCCATTAGAAACGAGCAGGGCATGCATGAAACCGAGAGTACATCTGTGCAAGTGTGTGCACATGTGTTTGTATGCGAGCGTGCGATGGTATGCATGTGCGTGTGTGAGAGTGAATGAGCGAGTTAGTGTGTGTGTGTATGAACCAACGAACGAATGCATGCCCATGTTCACGTAGGACCAGGAAAGCGTGACACACTGCAAAACACATCCAGGACTCCTATTGCTTTTTAAAACTTTCAGCTTATTGCTTTTGACTCTGTACAGTAACATGCAATAAGTGGACCGTGGGGGGAGAGAGGGAGAGGGTTAGGAGGAGAGGGGTCAATCAGCTGGGGGATTGTTGTGGGGATAGAGAGGGAGCTGGTACAGCATAGAGAGAGAGGGGCATACCCTGGAAGAGGCTACAGAGAGTATTGATGGTACCAACAACAGACAAAGAGCCTGGCATGCTAACTGGAGGAGAAGATACTACCAACGGGCAGCTAGAGGAACCACCCTGCTCGGCCTGAAGTGTCTGCCAAGTACCCATGTGTCCATCCCACCTTTTAGTAACCCCTCTGTCTGCCAAGGCTTCTGCCATCCAGATCCACACTGTTGGGGAAGTTGTCCGGGCCGCTCTGTCAGGCTAATGGTAGTGACCATCACATCACAACTACATGCTCCTCCGGCTCCAGTGTACCACAACGTTCCTCTCTCCTTCCCTTTCTCTCCTCTCTCTGTTTGCTGTATATTGAGCTGATTTCTGCTCTTTGGCTCTCCTCTCTCCCATCGACCATTCTCTTCTCACTCTTTCATTCTCTGTTTAGGAAGCAGGTAGGCAGCGTTGGGCCTGAGTTCTGACTCATCCAGGCTTGGGCGGTGCAGTGTAGTGTGCGGAGGCGTGTGCCTATCTGTCCTGAATGTGTGAATAGCTTTCTGCTGCTTGGCCGCTTTCTTTAGCTCTTAATGGGGAGCCGGAGACAGCCCAGAGACATGGCAACCAAGATTAAACGTGAAATGATGACTACACCCACTCTACCCAGACTATTCTGATAAACCCGTCCAGCCTCACAACCAACCTTCAGTGTTGACACTGGCGCACTTGCGCGTCCCTCCCCTCCTCCCATATCCATTCCAGAAGAACTCTGTTCCTAAATCACAACTGTAGTTGCGGAGTACTACTACTACACTAGATACACAAAATATACTTTGGAAAGGATGCTTAGGAGGGTGAGGAGGAGAATTAGCAAGCGAGAGGCAGCTAAATTGGCCAGACTTCATCAGTTCGAGACCTTTGTCTCTCCCACACATAAGAACATGCACACATATCAATCAAATCAAGACTTTAATGCTCCCAACATGCTGTATGTCCACTTGGACCTAGTAGGGTCAAATAATGAATGTATTTTTGTTCCAGCCTATTTCCCATACCTTCCCACTCTACTCCCAGGCCAGACCCACGAACCCTTGTTAACCATGTGAACCCTCTCTAGCCCTTTAATTATGTACAGTAAGATCATTTCATGCCTTGTTACTTAGTTTTGATCTTATTGAATAATAATAATAATAATACACCATCACTATCCATAGTGCATGTCCAGTAAGACAAGCTTACTCCAAGCTCTTCTGCCTTGTCTTTGTGCTGCTCTGTGGGCTCGCCACGCTAGTGCCAGTGCTTTTTGCATCACAGGTTAACTATTGGGTATTGTTTTTAAGACATGTAATAATAATGTATTTGACTGAATGAATGAACCCAGGAGGTTTTGGATTGTTGCTTTAGCTCTTGTTTTGGGGGTTTGCTGTGGAGCCATTGTGCTCTGTGTGCTGGAGGGAAGCAGAAACACTAGGGCCCATTCACAAATCGACCCCTAGGCACTTGTGGGGATCTGAGGGATTGGATTGGTATAAACAATGTGATGAAATGTCCACCTAGCCTATCAGAGGGCAAGGTGGAGCTATTACCATATTGCTTACACCTGTCAAATCCAGTCAGATCTCCACAAGTGCATAGGGTGTAGGGTATAGGGGTCGATTTTGGGATTGGGCCTAGTAGTGTTGTGTGCTTGTTGAGCCTTCTGTCACTTTCTAAGTCAACTTGGGTGAGAGCACCAAGCAGTATGACCACACCGGATCAGACCGGTTTGATTTCATCAACGAACTGCATATAGTTGTCACATGCAAACAGTTGTGACTGGCACTTAAGTTAAACGTTAGACAACCAGCTATCTCTCACCACTGACCTAACACACCTTGATATAAAGGAAAGATATTAGTCTTTCTATTACTCTTTATAAAATATCTACCAGGGTACTCTTGTTAGCTAACCAGCACAACTTTTGGATCTGAGATTACTACCAGGCCAATACAGTAGCTCTCTACCTGTCCTATAGCCTAACAGTGGCAGAAGGCTTCAGGACCCCCTGTGTGCTTCCTAGCTGGTCCTCAGCCTCAGATCATGATGGCGACCTATAGCATGCTGGCACTCAGGCTGTCCAGCAGGGATGTGGGTTTGTACAGTACCTTGTTATTTACTACTGAATCCTTGAATTCTGTAAAGGAAAATAAGAAAAACGATTGCATGGATACCTTGTTACTGTAATTAATAACCTATACAGTATATTAGATTAGATCTTTTGATAACTTACATGGCATCAATGAAACCTACTTACTTACCAACAGCAAGAGAACCAACCATTACATTTTTTCTTTGAGCACATCTTGGCATCTAAGGATCTACATTTTTTTTGTAGACTAGAAAAACGGTTGTTTATTCATCGTTACTGTTTGTTTTTACGGTTGCTGGGGTTTTGTGTCTTACTTTAGGGAAAGAAATTACGATGTGTAAAATAAACAAGAATCATGGTTATGATGAGAAAAATGATGAAGGTAATATGGTTAGAGAATTCTAAATGAATTGTGTCTGGTGTAGGCGATGAACAGTGATGAATCCTGGGTAATGAAGGTTTATGTGTGTACATTGAAAGGCTTGGTGTGACTGCAGGCTCCAGAGACCCCATGTTAGCCATTTGTGTCAAACCGTTATGAAGGTGGTCCTCTTATAACCATGGTACGCTTGGATAGCCTGATCCCAGATCTGTTTGTGCCGTCTTGCCAAGTTGCCAATTGACAACGGCCATAGGAGTTGGCAAACCGCAGAAACAGATCTGGGACTATCAGGCTAACGTTTGGCATCGTGTGCTGTAATAACATAAGCATCCATGGATGCATTATCAGTGAGGTAGTCACCAATCTAGAGTTGGCTCTGCTCCCGTTGGACCATTCTCCCTGTCGACCAATAGTAAACATTCACCGGTTGCTGGAGCCTGAATCTCACCACTCAGAAATAAAGGATTCTCTGTATTGCCTTGTTAATATTAATTGTGGACACAATTTTATATTTGACAAAGACATGGAAATAAATATTATTTATCTTGTTATTTATTCAGAGGTTTGTTTCCTTAAATTTTTTTGTAATATGTTGGATCAGATGGGTTGGGTTTGCTTGTTAAATTTGATAGAGGGACAAACAAGATCTGTACACTATCAGTAGAGCATGGTGCTTGCAATGCCAAGCGTCGTGGGGTCGATTACCGCTGTGGCCATCCTTAACATAAATGTATGCACACGTGACTAAGTCGCTTTGGATAAAAGCATCTGCTTAATAGTATATCATTATAATTATTAATACAATATCTTGGAGGGTAGAAGTTTGGACTATATGTTTGTATGTGCCTAAATTGAATCTTACCAGCAGAGGGCGATATTGTATAATTTTCCAGTCTGAAGACACAATGACTCACATTATCACTTTACCTTAGATGGCCAGGCCAAAACATCAGTAGGTGACACAAAACAAAATAACCATATAATGGGTAGTGATGAGAACACTGTCAGATCATATCAGGTGGTTTTAATGCTGATTGGGAGAACTGAGAATGAGTGAAAATCTAAATTGCTTACTCCTTGCATCCTCTCCTCCTCAAAAGCCATTGGGTGAGAAAGCCAGAGGTCCCTCCCCTCTGACCTTCTCCAATGGGTTACATGGAGGATAAAGTTGATGAGTCACTACCTGAGCCTTTCCTGAGGACCAGATTACATTGTAGCAACACACCTAGCCTACAGTGAGCACGACTGAAGTGTGTGGAATTAAGCCTGAGTATTACTCAGGGACACACATGCATTCAAAAACATGCCATATAATGGGAACTTCAATTTGCATACCGCCCCAATAGATCCACAGATGATGCCATTGCACTGCACACTGCCCTATCCCATCTGGAAAAGAGGAATACCTATGTAAGAATGCTGTTCATTGACTATAGCTCAGCCTTCAACACCATAGTACCCTCCAAGCTCATCATTAAGCTTGGGGCCCTGGGTCCACTACGCTGATCCTCAACACAGGGGCCCCACAAGGATGTGTGCTCAGCCCC